ATATGTATGAATAATGCATGATCAAATACTCCTTGTAACCTTATTATAATTGTCGACTAAATCCGTGAGCTAATAATTAAAAAAAGAGTTGCGTTACCCAACCAAAGGTGCTACACTTACTCTTAAACCATAGATTCCCCTATTGTCCAATTCTTAGGGACTCGTAAAGCCCTACCTCACACCCAATCCAGGGTGATATTAAGGATTGAGGGTCTAGGTAGCTTATACTTAAACCTATTTCTAGGTAAGATTCAGAAAGACCTAACCCCAGACTAATATCGAGGCTACCCATGATATTGGTACAATCCATATGGATATGAAATATTACTAACTCCTCTCTAGGGCGACCTCTTGCCCAATATGATCATGCCACATGATCTCATGCTCATGACAATTTATAAAAATATCATGCTTTTATAAAAATACAATTCACAAAGTTATAAATTATATAACTTCATCTACAAACATTTACAACCACACTTACATAATTTTTAAATGATAGAAAATATTAAATTCAAACTTTAGAAACTAAATTGCTATTTAAGAAACTATAAAAAGCATAGTTCACATTCTCAAATAATCATAATCAATCCAACATGAAATAACACAAAGTAAAATTTTTCCTATTACTTCAAATTGTGAGAGATCAAAAGTTACCAATTTACCAAAATTGCTTCCCAAGCTTAAATGAAGCTCAAATGGTGCTCCACAAGATTAATATATAATCCATAACAACAATAATCACTAATAATCAACAAATATACTACTTTCAATTCAATTCTAATTATACATTTTATATACCAACATTTTGAACCACTAGCACAATTTTAAATCTAATGGGTTTATTAACTTTCATTAAATCTATTTAACTCTCAAAAACTTAAATAACAATTACTATAACATCCTACGATCCAATTTCTTCATCAAAGAGCCTAAGGTTTGTCTAAATCAAAGAAATTCAGATTGAATGACCCAACAATCAATACCCATCATTCTAGGAGCAAAATCTAATAACTAATACCTTCATTTCATCCATTTTAGTTAGCTCATAAATTAACCTAAGGTTTAGATTCAAGATCAAAATTCAAAATCCTAACCTCAAAATGCAACTAGAAGGGAAGAGGAAAGATTTGGGAACTTACATCTAATGAATCCAAGATTTTAGACACCATAAATCGTTAAAAACTCATGCCCTAATAGAGCTCTTTTTTCTTCTCTCTCTCCTCCTCTCCCTTTTTCTTTCATTTTTCTTTTTCATTTTTGGATACTTAAATCACATTTTGAACCTTCATCAAACAAAAAATTATGAATTCTACTAATTTTTTCTCTATCGCCTATGGTCATACATGTCTGCCCCTAGTTAAACAAAAAAATTACAAATTCTACCTTTAATTTGGGTTTGATCCGAAGACTAAATTCTTCCTTCACAAATTACTGAGGTGTCATATTTGCCCGACCCACACCATCCCTTGTAGGAATCAATGAATATTAATATAGTGCCCAACCTATACCATCCCCTTTAAGTAGTATTATATACTAAGCATATTTATTAATTAATATACATCAACCATTGAGCGCAACTCTTAGTAGAGTTTACACCAAGTGGATTTTCACATCACTCTACACTCACATAGTAAACTCTCACCCATCAATGATCATGCAATTTATCACATGCTCATGATATACTATGATAATCAATATATTGAACTTGTATCAAGCTTATTCTCATGCTCATATTCATATAACCAAGTAATTATATCTATACTTGACATCCTACCACATATATCTAATCATTCACTATTATAACATGCTTGCATCCAAACATGCTCTAAAATCATTGTACAAGCAACTTATGCTCATAATAATACCTATCAAGCATGTATCATACTCATTTTTCAATTAGCCAAATAATCATACTCATGCTTAACTAACCATAAAGCTACGTCCATATCAAACAATAATTTGAACATTAAACATACATATCCTATACCTTGCAAGCAGCAACGTCAACAAGATTTAACTCTCGATTATTTCAACTCTTGGGTTACCATCCTAAAGTATAACTTGAAATCTAAAGGAGCCTCCAACAAAGCCCGAGTACTTCCAAAGTAATCAATATATATATTAGGATTAACAAACATTATTAATGACTAATTATCTTTTATTAGCTCTTAATCACAATTAAGGCCTAAAACCTTCATTAATGGTATTAACTATAAATAACCCAATTCCTAGCTTCCATTAACTTATTTAACCCTCACAAGCTTAATAAACACTATTAACTCCCTCTATTAGCTTAATCTAGGTTATTTAGAGTTAAGGTTAACTCTAAACCCATCATTAATGACATTAACCACTGTCTTTAGCATTACCTAATGATTAGAAATATAATAACTCTCATTAGATTTTATTGAAATCAAATGAAAGGGCAAAACTTGATCCTAGGTTCATACCTTCACTCCCTAACCAAAAACTTCTTAGAAAAAGCATAGAGAGAAAACAGAAGTGAGAATGAAGCTTACCCAACCAAAATATTGAAAGTCCTCAAACAAACTCTAAATAAACGCCAATATGGAACCCTAGAAAACTCCTTTGAATCTTCCTCACCAACTCTCTATTTTCCTTTTATTTTTCTGTTTGAGTTCATGTATATGGAGTTTAAAATTTTATCACACGTCTACCGCAAACACATAATGCTATCTATCATGACAAATGATTCAAAATGGATAGCCTTACTTAAGCCCAATAATTTAGGCTTAAAGAGGCTTGAAAACTTTCTAAGCTCTATTCTAAGTCACATAAAGGGTCCAATAGACCAAATTTATCATCCATTCACTATAATTTAACTTCCAATAACCTTAATTAATTAAATAAACCCCTACATTATTTTAATTAATCCAAACATTAAATTTTAGGATGTTACACTTGGATCAATCAAAACTTTTAGAAAACAACTTATATTATGGTATAGAGAAAGTATATTGTAATTTCCCTAATCAAGAGAAGATGAATGTAGTATAATTTTTAATAAAAGGGTCAATTTTGTAAAACTAAAAAAAATATACTTTTGAAACGACTAAAAAACAAAAAATACAATTATATTTATACAACAACAAGCCTTTTATCCTATTAAGTAGAGTCGGCTGCATGGATGGTAAGACGCTAATATGCTCTATCATTTATTAAGCTTTTAGGAATATTATTAATTAAGAAATCGTATTTAACAACTCTCAAAAATGTTTTTTTAAGCCTTCCACTACCTCTCTTTATACATGTCTAAACATCTTAAATATTTTCTACTACCATTTTTTTCTCAATAAGTGCTACCCTTATTTTTTCGCATATGTGCTTATTTTGAATTTTATTTTTACGTGTATGTCCGCACATCCATCATAACATTCTTATCTCTACTACTACTCCAACTTTATGCTCTTGCTGTCCCGTTAGAGCCCAGCATTCTACTATATAACATAGCCGGTCTAATAGCTGTACGATAAACTTTCTTTTAGTTTATTAGCACCTTACGGTCGCAAATAACTCCTTTAACTTTTCTCTAATTAAAAACCACCCACTTGAATCCTATGTGAAATATCCTCACTGATTTCATCATCATTTTGAATAATGGCTTTCAAATATCTAAACTTTTTTTCTTGAGGTATAATTTGATTTCCCAATTTCACTTTTAAATTACCATCGACTAGTCTCTTACTAAATTTACAATATAAATATTCTGTCTTACTCCTACTCAAACGAAAATCTTTCGACTCTAATGTCCTCCTCTATAAACTCAAGTTTAATTAACTTCTTCTCTTGTCTCTGCTACAAGAACTATATCATCTGCGAAGAGTATATAATTGAGAATTTTTCTTTGAATATGTTCCGTCAAAATATTTAAGATCAGTTAAACAGATAAGGACTCAATGATGATTTATGTCCAAAAAAAACAAAAGGATAGTTAGTCTTTTGTGCATGGTCCAAGACCTAAGAAATATATGATTTATGACTATGTCTTTGTTAAATTTTTTTATATCTTATTTTGATATATATCCTTTACAAGACATCCTCCATAAAAAGTGAAGTAAATAAATGTCAAATCAATCAATCTAAAAATTATATCCTCTCCATCTGAAATTATAAAATAACTTTAAAGAAATTTCATTATCTAAAATATAAATAATTAAAAAAAATAAGATTTCATTAATGATACTTTTTTAATATTATCCTTCAAATGGAGAGAGATTTAAATGATATTATAATATAATAATTAAGCGTGTGAGGATATTTTTAAAAGTTTATAGCTTTGTTTTAAATGATATTATTATGTTTTATTGATATGGGTAATTTCATTTTAAATTGTTTTATAATTTGGGATAGAATGAGAATTGTTTTATGTTTTGATTTCAAACATTACCAATCTTTTTTCATTTTTTTCCACCAAAATTGCATGCAATTACTTGATTTTTTGAAATTGTAAGGATGTTACAAAGCGCCAAATTAGTGATTGTCTAGTTGGATATAAGGCCCATTTAATTAAGATTAAAAAAACATTATTTTATATTTGATGACAACAAAAAAGTGATTATTAGGTAGTTATTTTTAAATTTATAATATATTTTATTAATTTTTATTTTAGAAAAATTATTTATTATTTAATTATTTTAAAATTTTATGATATTTTCATATATCTTTCTTTTTTAAAACATTCTCTCCTATATGCCACATCAAATTACTTCTAAAGCTATTCAAAGCACCTTAGTAAAATAATTAAAAAAATATTTTTTATTTTAATTATTTTCAAAAGTTTAAATAAATATCATAAAAACTCATATAATAGATTTTTTTTCCCCCAAGAAATAAGTTTTTTTTTATAAAATAAGTTGAAACAAACAAAATAACAAAATAAGTCTTATTCTACTAAACGAGATTGGTTATATAAATTATATTATGCCATTGATGGTGCACGGCCCATAATTAATCAAGGGAACAACACAAGAAGGAAGAACAATATAAAATTATCATTTACTTTGATGGTGTACAATCTACAGATACACTTGTTGCCTCTAATCTAAGGAGAAGTGTAAATGAGATCAAGCCCATTGTTCTACCCTCAGCACTTGACTAACTATATCCGGATTTTCTAAAGTAAAATCTGTATAGTGTTCAAAAGTAAAAGAGAACAAAAGAAAATCGTAAAAAGAAGAGAGAGAGAGAAAAAAACACCAATATATACTTTTACTGCTTGTCTCCCTTCAACTTGGAAGACGATTCAAATTGGGAGATTCAAATCAATCTCTAAATCCCCAAGAAGTGAGTGTGCTACCATGTCCATGCCAAATTGCAAGAGAAAAGGCATGAGCAAAAATAGATCTATAGCTAATCCTAATTGATTATATTTTGCATTAACATGTCTGTGAAGTAAGATTTGACACCGCAGAACAGTCAGCACTGCGAGAAGAAGTATCAAGCGTTCTTAGCCTCTGCGAGTGGGGATGTTCAATGATCACTAAACTGCATCTTCTGGGCTTTCATCACGGCAGGCAGAATTTGGCTGGTAAAACATATAAAAGTGTCTCAGCCGAAAGATATATCAGTGAAAGTTTAATATGAATACACACCAGCAAGCTCCTTTCGCGAACAAATTCTAAGAATGACGAGATTGAACTAATTAAAGTTCTTTTTTTTTTTCAAGTTGTTATTAGACTTTTAAATAATAACACTATACATGAAATTTTTACTTTATAGTTCACTGTTCACACAATATTATCGCCTCTTCAAAATAATTTCTTCACGAGACACAATTATCGAATAGCTTAATAACAAATACTAAAAATTGTACCTGATCAGTTTTTCAATTTTAAGGATACAAGATACTGTGAGAGTAAGTTTAGACAACTTACCACCCCAATGTGCCATTCATGACTACTAAAATCTTTAAAAGTAGCTGCATCCATTTCCTGCAACAACATGCTCTGTGTAGTCAGAATATAGTGCTACGCTATATAAACTAAATCTAAGATGGATCAATTCGTTATTTTAGAGCTCAAGATATGTGAACCAATCCTGCCTGTCTAAGCTACTAGCGGTTACGTCAAAGACTCAAGATATATATCCAATGAAAAAGATGCTGGGGTGTTCAATAATCGTTTGCATCCATGAGACACAAGAAAAGCTACAATGTGATGAACTCTAATTTATCAGTGTTATGGTGGGACACTATCAAAAGGATGTACGATGAGTCCACAATCCATATTCTTCAAATACAGTTCAAGCATAGGTCATTAAGGCAGGAGAAGGAAGAATTGCAAATGAAAAACCAAGACAAAATTTAATGAATTACCAACAATTGTTCCGTAAGAAACAAGCTAATTCTACTAAGCAGAGACCGATTTTATCCTCATGATATGGTGCAAATTTAATTTTTGCATTAACGACTGCAACATATGAAGAACTTGTAACTTACAATACTGTAGATGGGAGGCACCAAAATGTCGCCTCTATACTTTGTGGCAGGCATAACAGAGAAGCGTGGCGCCAAGCCTGTGACCTGAAAGTCCACCTGCAGATAAAGGATCAATGAAGAACAATTGAATGTTAGAAGATGGACTCAAAAAAATACGCAGTGAGGCTGTATTGTATGGTAAAAGAAATTCATTAATTTATTGTTCTTGCATGGGAAAACATATTCACATACCCAATGTAATGAAAAAATGCAGAATTGTGCCCACTCTCTGACTAATAACCGAAGGCAGTAATTCCTGAAGAGTCGTCCATGTTCATGTATATCTAGAAATCAAGCGGCTTTTCAAAGTAAGATACTCATAAGTAAATTATCCATTTATAGTTAGAAAGTGAAGCCCAAACATAATCCACAGTTTCTGCCATAGCAACTATCTGCATTGCACCCTGAAATTTCCTGCACGCATGAAAGAAAATGTGTCCCCTATGAAGTATATTTTTTGTCTTGTACGAAGTACTATGCTTAGTTATTTGTAAGACATCAGTAAGAAAAGTATTGATACACATTTTTCAGGTCCGTAACACTTACTTGAACATCATGTACTTTGTATACAAAGCATCATGCATTGTCCGAACATCCTCGTTTTCAACAATACTCAATTGTTCTCGCAACAACAATAGGTTTTGTGATATATGCCGGAAAATTACATAGAATGAAATAAAATAATTCAGTAGCAGAAGAACCTGCAAATTTAATAAATTAGGAGTTATCATCACAGGACCATGCTTGCTTAATATAAACCAACGTGGCAGTTTGATAAATTGAACTGCAGATTAAATAGACCATGTAAAAAGCCTACCGTGAAGTATGGCACACAAGCTTTGTAACCAACAAGTGTTAAGTAAAAGACACATCCAAGTGCAGCAGTTGTACGGCGTTCACTTAAAGAAAGATGCTCACACATGATACAGTAGCCATGAGCAATGAGCAAGAAGGAGACAAAGGCAGCAGTTTGAAAGAGCACCCCAGTTACATACACCCCGAATGACATCCACAAGGAACATGCCTGAAAATAGAAGCATGAATACCTGCAGGAATGGTGTGTTGAATGCTTAATGAAATAAATTTTGCAGGCAGCAAATGTTAAGTTCTCAATGCTAGAATGTATCATCAAACAAGCATCAAACTTAAAAAAAAATCAATTAAAGCTTTATTCTTCGTAATAAAAATGCACAATTCTTGATTTGCAGATCCTTTACACTTACGACTTTAGGGCAACCAGACAGTGGATGTTATGTACCTCAACTAAATATATGGTAGAAACAGATTCATTATTACAATCAGAAGTTATACTATTATTGTTTGGACAGTGTGGCAGTGTCCTCTTTTCCTGTCAATGATGCCCAACATCATATTTACCATACACCTGTTTAGGATTTCTGTAATCTTATGTGATGCAAAAGATAAGTAAGTGCGTTCTGGTAAATTCTGAATCCAGTAACTTTATACAGGATTGCCCGCCTATATTGGTGAGAATGCCTGCAAATATAAGACATCACACTATTTTATCTCGATTTTACCACAATTGTTTGCCCATCAGTCGGTCTATCCTTCAGTTACACTTTCTTTATTAAACAGGCTCATCAGAACTCAGAAGTCTGAGCCATATTTAATTCTATGCCCATAGCCAGACAAGTTATCCAAAAAGATATCGTACTCTCCATCATCTTATAGCTGGCTACCTCATGGTTCTCACGAATTCTCTAGGGTGCCTTTGCACAGGAGCAAAACACGTATGAAGGGACCATATGCGTAGTAAGTTCTATCTATTCCCTTCCCTCTATTCCGTTAATCCTTTTATTGGCACTCCTATGGTTCTACTAATAATCATGCCTTTTAGCATTCATTTGTCTACTGAGCTATCAACAGAAACAAGAGTTATCCCACTCCTCCAAATAAAAGACACTTAATAAGATTTGACTGAAATATTTGACCATCACAGAGTAGTGAATTTAAATTATAACACTAATATATTGAAATTTAAATCTTGCACACGTACAAGAAGCCACGGAACTCATCCAAAACGTACCAGAAGAGAAAGGACAGCGTGAGCTGCAATACTTTTATAAAGGGAACTGAGGTAAGTGCCCACTGCAATTATTTGACTGCGCTAGCAAAAGAGTTAAAAAAAAAACAAGAGTTATGGCTACAAAGAATTAACCTTTTCAAAATGGAAGCATAAATATAAACGCCGAGAAAACAGAAACCATCACGTGAAATAAAACAAGGTAATCATCACAAGTCACACAGTAACAAGAGTACACAAAAACAGATTACGCACATATTTTCGCGCTCGATTGAAGAGTTCTCTATTAATCGTAAAAGGAAAAAGAATCTTTGCGGCAAGTTTACATCACGGAGACAAAGGATTCTCTGTAGTCTGTGCACTAAATTGGGGTGACTTGGGAAACTCTGAAAATTTTACCGGGGAAAAAACTACGGACGGGAGCAGGAATGAAATTTTGATTTCTCATGAAGCTGGATTTCCTCGGAGGTCATTAGTAAAGAAAAATGATCAAGCTCTAACACGGAAAAAGAAACACAAGTAAGCACACGGAGCATAGAACTCTTCCGAACCACCAAACAACACTCAGTGATCACCTACTTCTAGTTGAAGCAACCAATAGATGAATCCAGCATGAAAAACAGTGAAAACAGGATTCATTTCTAATCTTTCAAACCAACGAAACAACAATCACATACAGAAAGTTCCATGACAGCGAGAAAATATCTGCACAGAAGAGTGAAGAAGCTAATAAGGGATAAAATTACGATAAGGATAATGAAGGACCTGAAACCGGCGCTTTTTGTAGGTATTAAGGGTCCAAGAGCAAGCAGAGACGAGCCATAAGGATAGGAAGGCCAAGTAAAGCGAGGGAAGTGGCCTATATGACTCGTCCAGTCCGAGAGGGTAGGCTCCGTCGCCGACGGTCTCGTCCATATCGGAGAATTTAAATTGAGATTTGGAGTTTGGGCGTCGATGTATTGCTGTGAGCGTTTCCTACAGCTCCAGCTTCTGTTCTACTAATACGCAGAGTGATGAACACGTCCCCAACGTGGCCTTCTCTGCTAAGAACGACATGCCCGACCTTTATCACTACCCATTTTATTCGCGCCAACAATAATAAATAATATCATTATTTCACAGTTTAAAATTTCCACAAAATTCTATTTATTATTGACCTTTTCTTTAAATGATAAAAATAATTTCATCCAAAATAAAGATGTATAGAGCCAAATTATACGTATTTATGGAGTAAGTTTAAAAATTACATGCTAAATGGAATTTTGACTTAGAAACAGAGAGTTGCTTTTTTTCTTTTATAAATTTTTTATTTTATATTATTTGACCTTTTTACAAAAATTAGGTGAAACCTCTTGTATATTGTAAAGTTTGAGAAATTAGTTATTCCTTCCTATCCAAAATATAGGCTATTTTTAATTAATATTTCATAAGAATTAAGAAAAATAATCTATATTATTAAAATGGTAAATGTGTTTCTTTGTCAACTGAAAGAACATGTAGATAAACACATTTTTTTTATCATAGAAATAAACATATTATTTAAAATGCAGCAATTTTATACTATATATGTATGCATTTTTATATATTTGTGAAGAATCTTAAGAATTTAGGAATAAAGATTTTGCATTTGTTCGGGTAAAAAACAATTGTATTTTACCCAAAAAATATTATTGTATATATGTCAATGAGAAAAAAATGTGTAACGCTAACACGTTTCCTTTTTTTTTTTTTGGGTAACAATACATTTTTTTAAATATATTTTTTTTTGTAAAAGTATCTAATATCATATATTACTGTAATATCAGGTTTAAATATTGATGATTTCGGTTAAAGGTAATGCTTGTTTTATGATTTTTATCATTTAAAAAGCTCTCACATCAATCTTTTTAAAAAGAAATCAGTCCATAAACTTAAGTTAATCATAAAAAGAATTGTCAATAAGAGCCTCTAAAAGTTTAAATCCATAAATTCTTTTACATTAAAATTAGCACTTTTTCAAGCTTAGTCTTTATTGATAAGGTTTAGGATAGAGCTTGAACGCCTGCATATTTTTTGTTTTTAAAATTAAAATTTCTAATTACACTAATACATGTATAAATTATGAAGTATTTAAATTAAATATTTAAAACAAAACATTCTTTAATCATTATTACCATCCATCTTCATTTAAAAATAAAACATTAGACTCTTAAAAGCAAGGTTTATTTAGAGGAGATGGTGTTATTTCAAAAATCTCACCAACTTCATTTTCATCACTTAAAATAAATATGTAATAAATTGTGTTATTTTTTTATATAATTTTTAAATTTTAAGTAAATTATATAAATAAAGTTAAAAAATAGTTATGAGGACTTTAGGGCTAACCTGAACCCTTGTCATGGGGTTTATAAAGACAGTGCCTAAAAACTCTTTTATACCAAAATTTTTTGTTTTTTCAAACTTGATATTGGAAAAATACAAGGCTTTAAAAAAGTAGCTCGTCAGGTCTAATGGCTCTAACCATGAATAGTTTAAGAAATAAGTATAATCATTTTTATCAATTACGAAAACTACTAAAAAGGAATACCCATAAAATTCTCAAGAGATAAAAGTAGGGTCTATTACATTATATTAACTGAGATCTGAAATACAATTTTATCGATGGCATCTAGAAGCTTTGTGGCAAGTTTTGACTTCATGACATACGAAACAAATAAATTTGCGGCTACAAAACAAAGACAACATAGTTTACCAGAATTTGTTTGCAAAAATAATAATAATTTACCAGAAGATAATTATGAAGAATGCTTAGTGACTTAAAAAGTGTGAGTAGTGAATTAAGGAACGAGGGCCACATGATTATTTTGAGTTTATTTTATATTTGGAAAATAAATAAATACAAAGTTGATGGGCCAAATTTAAGGAAAGAAAGTTGGTGGGTGTAACTATCCGGAAGTGGCAAGTGGTGGATAAATGGATATGGAGTCACACAACAAAACCACTTTCTCATTAGTTTGTGAAATTCCCACATTCAAATTAAAACTAAAATATCACCTCTATGATCTAGATCCCTAGCTACCCACTCATTACCCAATAATTTAATAATTATATATTTTACAATTTATTATCATATAAATTAACATTTTAATTTTACGATGATTTGTTACATATAAGTGACGTGTTTGCAGATCCGCGTTCGAAAGAGGACGTGAAGAGCACTTAATTAAATCATTATTATTTGCCTCTCTGTTCTTTTTGTTTTTTTAAATGGCTTTTCACGCTAGTGATTCATCATCTGATTTTAGTTGGCCTAAAAAATCGATTGTCTCACTTTGTTTTCATGCGCTTTAAAATTAGATTTTGACTTTAAGTCTTCAAAAATATATATGTTCAAATCTTTTTTTTTTATAACTTTTTTTCTCCTTCTGATTAAAAAAAATGGAAGAATAACAATGAAGTCTCAAAATATCAAATTAATGATAGTTAGGTCCTGCCATTTTTTTTATTACGTACATATGTGTCCTTATTAAAATTTGAAGACAATCATATTGAAAGGCATGCTTAGAGACTAAATGTTAAGCACATCTTTGGTAATTAAAATTTTTAAAGTTATAATCATTTAATTTAAATAGATGTTTATTTGTCATTTAAAAAAAAACTCATTCAATATGGCTGGAATTTGGATTTGTTGATGCTTGCAAGCACTCAATTATCACTTAATGATTCTCACTCCAAAAAAAAAAAACAAGAAGAAGGAAAACTGCATTCTTGATCCTCTATTGCAATATATATACTCCCTCTTTTTAAAAATATAAAACATTTTTAATTGAATATCATCCCACAATAAAATAGTTATTTACTTTCAAATTAATTTTATCTTTTCATATTTACCCCAATTAAACACCCTACAATAAATATAAAGTTATTATCAATAAAGATATTTTTTAAAAAAATACAATGATTACACTTTGAAAAACTAAAAATGCCTTACATTTTTTAACATCTAACTCCTCAAAAAATGTTTTATATTTTTTTAATAAAGTGAGTATATATATATATATATATATAACATTTAAGATGAAGTAATTTATTGAGTTATTACATTTCAAAAAATTACAAAAAAAAAAAAATGATAGTTAGAGATTGTAGCCAACGATCATGTATGTGGTCTAACAACACCAAGCTGCCCAACTTATGAGAGGTGATCGGCTAGATTTGGTTAGCTTTCAAGTTGTTCATCCTTCCCTTTCGGGAAAAGATTAGAGGGATTACGAAAAGGTGGGATTTGAATTTTTTTTTTTGTATAAAATAAAATCAGAGAATGAGAACATTTTGGAAGAAAAGAAAATGTTCGGAGGTGCGTTTGACCAACAAGGATGAAACTGAAGTTGAGAAAACAGGTGTTGACCATATAAATTAAAAGCTTTAAACTTCAATGAGTTGTTGTGATTTGTTAGATACAAGATGGTCATCCATCTCAACACTTTTGGTCAACAAACTCACTCTCATATGCCACTCATTATATATATTATTCCCTTCCTGCCCAATCATATCTAATCTTCTCATTCCCTCCTCCTTCTCTCTACTTTATTTATGCCGACTCTTTACTTAATTATTTCGAAAATTATTTTTTCTAATCATATAACCTATAAGTAACCTTTTTCCAAAATTATCATTAATTTTTAAAATCAATAAAAAATTTTAAAAAAAATAGAACAGAAATACGTTTTTATAATTCCATGTTTTTCAGTCAAAAAAATGGAAATTAAAATAGGTTTTCATCTTAAACAGAGAGGGAGGGATGGAGTGTGGCGTTTGGATTTCAAGCCTTGATGTGAACTTTTTTTCTCTTTTTTTTTTAAGAAAAAAAAAACCAATTCCAAGTCAGAATTCGAACAAATGTTGTCCAACAAATCATATTTGGGCCTCCATCTCTCCAGACATGGACCAAGAGCCCAAAGCCTCATGCTTTTTGGGTCATGGCAATGATCTTTGGGCTACTTGTCATCTCCAAATTTGAATAAACCCAGCCCAAAGCATTCTGTCCGTAGCTTATTGGACCAAATATTAACATCATGGACTTTATGATCTCAATGGCTCCCAATGAAAGACCCATAAAAGATTTTCAATTTTTTAAAGTTTATTCTCTCTCCCCACCCCACACACACATTATTTTATTTAATTTCAAGAGAATTTTTTAATTTCAAATTATTTTAATTGATTTTTTCAACATTAATGCCAAAAATCTCAACTTGAATATTGACTTATACATGTTTATAGGTGCTTATTTGCAACAATTTATTTTATAACTAATACTATGTTTTTATTATTGATAATTTGATTGATTGAAATTATATCTTTTTCATTCCTATCATATTTCTACTACACTAAACATAGTAATGCAAAAGCGTTCCTACCATTTCCTTTGACCATTCTCATTCCTTTATATCATTCTAGTATCCCAAACATACAATAGTGTCCCTACTAAACTATTATCGTGACATTCACCATTGACCATAGCTTAATTTCTTGGATATAAACATAATGACTTGAAAAATGTACGAAATTTATTAGTGGGTCTAATTTTTTCACTCATTTTTTTCGAAAGCAGTTTGTAAATTTTTAATGAGGGAGGTCAAGATTATTTGTTACAGTGACTAGTGTCTATATATACGTCCAGTATACATACATGATACAATATGAGACAGATTTCAACTAGAAAGAAAGAGGAAAATAAATAAATAAATAAATAATGTTTGAAGGTCAAAGATACTGAGGATTAGGTTTGATATGGTTTTAGCAGCCTTTTTGGTAAAGGAGATTTCTTGTAGCCGCGTGACCGCTGCCCCAAGTACTACTTTTGTTTCGCCATACAATAACACTACCACAAAATTCATTAATGGATTAAAAGTCAATATTTAAGTTTTACCATCTTAATTTATGACCAATTCAAGAAGGGGCTGTAAAAAAAAATAAAAAAAAAGAGACAATATTATTTTACAAGTTGTTGGTAAAGTGCTGTGATCCAATG